AATGGCACCTGACCAGTGCAGTGCTGTTGTTTCTGTATAGCTCGTTTAGCTCCCGACCCCACCTCAGCAGATAGTGCAACAAAAGGTCGTCCGCATGTGCATTCACAAAGCATAGGCTTAGTGGAACATCCATTCTCCCATTGGCAAGCATGTGATTTGTGTCCGTCAACATATTGCTTGTATTATAGGATCTTTCTTCTCTTTCAAATATTGCAACAAAGAAAATCAATATATATTAAACCCCAGACAACCATAACAATCAATGAAATTGAAAGACCCAAATCCTAATTTAAAGAAAAAAGTATTTAGCATTGTCATACCCAACCGAGCTTCCCACTGGACATCTCCACCTTCGCCCAGATCAATCGCCGCATATGTGGCCTAGGGAAGTCGACCAGATCGAAAATCCTCTCCATCAACCTCCCCGCGTCGATTTTTTTGAGAATTTCAACGCAAATGATTGAGAGTTTGAAAAAATTTTACCTCTGTCGTTAATATCTGACTTGAAATCATCACTAGCCACCTCAGCGCTGTCATTACTCCCCTCGAAACCCTCCATATTGGCCTACTTGAGTTTCTCATCACCATCACCTTTCATCTTCTATTAAACTTTACCATCATCAAGTCTGCCAACTCAACAAATATTGCTTGGCTAAGAAACATAAATCATAATGGCAGCATAAAAGGGTGAAAACTACAATCCCCTAAAAAAAATTTTGCACGTATTCACATAATATTGAAATGAGCATCCAATTAACACACCTCTTCCGGATGTGCAATTGCTTAATCGTACTGCTCCCTTGTGGCTTCATCTTTCAAAATCTGAATATTTTTTAATAAGAAGTCAGTCGGTGGCAACAAAATATATCTTTTGACAATTTAAAATCCAATGCCATGGAATAACAATATAACAAGAAAAGTACCAAAATTTATGAAATCCAACCAAATCACATATTATATCGACTATTTTACTCTTTTGAAAGTGCATCTCCAGTCCATGACAAAGACTTGACATAATCAAGGCTCAAATGAATTAACTGAAACCTCAATTTGCTCAATCATAATAGCTTCAAATGCACGAGCAACACACTGAAACACACTTCAACTAAAAATGGTACCATAAAACCGACCATACACAAAAGAGATCTAATTACAGAAAAGTCAGCTAGACAGATTTCTCAATGAAATCAAAATCCACTTGGAACAAAAAAAAATAAAATGGCGAATTTACCTCGTAAGCAACAGCAATCTTCGTGAACAACTTCTTTGATTCTGGATAAGGATTTTTCTCTAGATGACCACGTGAGACAGATAAAACCAGCAACAAAAATTTAGCGACTAAAATACCATACTTTTTTTTATTTTAAAGAATACTCATAAATACAATCACAACAAATGAAAATAGGCCTTAATTTTTTAAGCTATAGTTTGTAGTAAGCTTTTGTAATTTCGGAGGCATTGGAAATTTGAGAAACCATGAGAATTAACATTTACAGACACAATTGATGAATAGTGGAAAAGTTGGGTGTAATGAGCAAGGAAAAACGACAATGGCTGCGTACCCCAGGAGATTATAACAATCGTCTGCTGGCACCCCTTCACATCAACAATCAGCTCGATCACCTCAAATAACTGAATTAAAGAAAAATGTAGAAACAATGTGAATATCAAGTGAAGTCGTCTAATTTCAGTATTATAGCTCAACTATTACATACCTCAGTTAGACCATCGTAATCACAAAGAACCCAACAAGAATGAAGAAAATAAATGAAAATAAAAAAGATAACTCTCACCGGTGTTGGTGCGTGAGTCCGCGCCGAGGAACCCCCGCCGTTGAAT